TTTTTTTGCGGTACGCGGGCCTCTCACTGTTGTGGCCTCTCCCGTTGTGGAGCACAGGCTCCGGACGCGCAGGCTCAGCGGCCATGGCTCACGGGCCTAGCCGCTCCACGGCATGTGGGATCTTCCCGGACCGGGCCACGAACCCGTGTCCCCTGCATCGGCAGGTGGACTCTCAACCACTGCACCACCAGGGAAGCCCCCAGAGTTGAAGTTTTGATGGTGGTCAGAAACCGAGAATGAATTCCCTGTTCAAAACCAAATTCAGTCCCTTTGATTTGAGGACTTGCAACTGATAACTCAAGCCTTTACCACCTATGGAGTGTCACTGGAGAGAAGGAAATAGTTAAGAAGCATTGCAAAGATGTCAGTAAACCTCCAGGATGTTAATTCTTTCTGAGTTGTGGGGAGTTGGAAGCCACAGTCAATCCTAGGGTCCGTCTCATGCTAGCATAATCCTAGATGTCTGAAGACACTGGCAGCTCACAGAGTCAGGGTGTATCCTGATTCTCCTGGTTGGCTCTCACAAGAAGAGTCTGGCATCATTCTCAGGGGTACAACAGAGTCAGGTCTTAACAGGCTCAAGAATTCTTTTCTCCCAGGGTCAGAAAACTCAACTTGGAAGTACATCCTCAAAAAACTATTAAGTGTTGCATGAGGTACTGATACCAGGCCCTCTGGGATATTTTGGAATACCATGAGTTATTATTAAAATCTTTCCGAGTGGGTGGCATTTATCCAACTTTACTTGATGGTAGGTATCACAGTGATCTGCTAAGCATTTTTATTTACCCACTTAGATTTAGAAAAGTATATTTGACAGAAAATAAAAATAATACATTTAGTAGTTCAGAGAATAACTTGTAACTCAAAACACTTGAAAGAAAGATTGAACTTTACTCACAATATCATTTTGCATGTGGCACATTTGTTGATGAACACTATTCCATCAGAGCTTTGAAAAAGGTTTTTATCTCGGGAACAGAACAGTTTTCCATCTTTCATCAGTGGCCTATATTCATTGCATGTTTCCTTAGGAAAATATGAAAAAAGTGCTTACAGAAATCTCATCAAAGCAAGACTTTACCTTCTAAGAACAATATTATTTCATGACCACCACCCGCTTTGTATGGAAGACATTCACTCAGGTGATACAGATAATACAAATAAAAGTAATGAATCTGGATTGTCTGTTGGAGATTGAAAATTCACCTAAAAGCATTCATCTAAAGTCATTAGTGAAATGGAAAGAACAAGGGACTTGGAGTCAAAAGATCTGAGCTTATCTTCCAGGGTTCTCACTTACAAGCCCAATAGCCATAGAAAATGAACTTCTCAAAGGCTCATTTACTCTATCTGTAAAAACAGAGGATATAAGTATATGTGTTTCATAAGTTTCGTGTGGATTAAATATCATAAGCATGTAAATCCCTCAAAGAGTGCCTGATACATAGCAGATATTCAATAATTAGATTCTCTACCTCTCCTCTTCCTCCTGCTTTATTATTATAGTTGTTGTTGCTATTGCCATTATTATTGGAATATGCTAAGATGATGCATATAAAATACCTAGCACACAGTTCAATAATATTGGCCATTAAAAGGTATATGAAAATGTTGCAATATATTTGATGAAGGCCTGCTATATGTCACTCACTTTTTTTCTAGGAGCTTAACATTAATGGTGCATTTGCACTACTTAGTAAAGTACTGATTTAAAATGTTATACTACCTATTAGTTTAGGAAATCCACTGGTCCTTTAAAGCCTTTGTAATCTATGTTTTCTTTTTTTTTTCTTTTGTTTTTTTGTTTTGTTTTGACTTTGAAAATACAAAGCATAAAGATCCTCGCACCAGAAAATATAAGTAAATCAATCAAGCCTTTGCTCCAACTCTGACATAGGCAACCTCTTCCAAAGGACAGATTATAGAATTCTATTCAGCCTCCTATATCTTCATAATAATCATTCAGTTAATCAACAAACACTTATTATGAGGATGCTATACTTTCCTGGGTGTCATGGATACAGCAATAAATAAGGCAGGAAGGATCCTTGCCTAAATGGTGCTTACCATCTAATGGATAATGATGTAACTAACCTAGCATCCTATAAACAGGAGGCAGTTGGTAGCACTTGCAGAATAAATGATTAATGGTGAAGAAGAATAAATAATTTCAGAGACCAGCCCTAGGAAATTTCGCTAAGGGTGACCTACTAAAACATCTCTAAGAGTATTACCACCACCCAGTGATCTTATCTGAGTAGCAGAGCAATAATTTCTGGCAACAGACTGACAACTGGGCCTCTTGAGATCCGTGTCTGGTCTCTGATTCTATAGTATCTTATGCCAGTATTGCAAGTTACTGCTTAGCTGGCTGGATATAACTGATTCTATAAAGTCCAGATAAAAACATTGTCATAGAACCAGAGAACAGCCTGGTGACTCTGTAATAGAAATATATCCCTTGTGAGGTAGGTCTTAAAGAAAGTGCTGAAAACAAAGATTCATGATAACACTAGAATAAAGCTTTAAATAGTTTTTAGTGGTCAACTGAAAAAGAACATTCTCAATCAAGATAATTCCTGAATTGGACTTCTCCTGTGTCATAATTAGAAAAATACCTAAATCCTAGAAAGACACACTTTTATTTTTATATGAATGGACAACTGAGTCCCAGAGAACAGGTAAGAAACTTGTTCACAGTTTGTAATTAGTAAAGATGGAACTCGATGCTATTTTTCTGAGTTATGAGGTTATCCAGTGTGTTCTTTTGGGAAATAGGAAAAGGCCATAAAAATTGAAATCAGCAGTTGTGTTTTTCTCTGGGAAAAAGGAAATAACCTCCCAATGACCATAATAGAGAGGGCTGAAACAGGAACAGGTCTGGACCGTAAAGGAATCCTGAGTTGGTGAGATGACTTCCCAGCAACCGATTACTTGCAATCTAACTTCCAGTCTTTGGCTCATTTTTGTTTTGTTTTGTTTGCTTTAGTTGCTCTTTGTGTTTTCTCCACTTGTCTCAGAGAAACTGGAGCCCTGTAGGGCCAAGCTCTTTCTGTTTTCCTTCACTGGCTGTGATATTGCCCAGTGTTTTCCATTTTTCCTCCCCAGGCATCACCATAAACCCCTCAGGAGCTGGCATCACCCCTGCTCTGTGTTAGAGCATCATCAAGGTTGCCATGGCTTCGTATTAACTCTTCTGGGATGACAAATTTAAGCATATGGTAAAGATCCTTGCAGATTACTCCAGTGCTTTTCTGTGCTATTCTGGCTCATGTTTGTAAAATTCAACATGTTTTTATGTTGTACTAGAAAGAACTTGAGCTACTGAACTTGGAAAATAAAATTTCCAGCACTATAAGAAAGACTAAATTAATAGTTTTCATTTCTGACAAAATATCCAAAGACTATGATCAGAAATATTTCCAGATAAATAATTATGTTTTATATTCTTTTTTGCTTATGCCAACACGAGAGGTGGCTAAATTTGTTTTTAAAATGTTTTTCAGTGAAATAGAGTTCAACAGTATGAGAAATATCAGTGCAAAATTTGAAATATCCACCGAAACTACTACCCATTATCATAGACACTGAAAAAAGAAAATCATGGCTTCATGCTCAGTAAGATTTACACAATACCCTTCTTTTTCCAGTATGAAATATCCAAATGAGCATGCTCTTCGAGTCTCAAAAATCTCAAAAATTTTTTTCTACCCTACCATCCCACTCTACTTAGGCAATAGAAGTTTCTGAACATCTCTTTAATCAGCAAACTTAAATGTAAGGCCAGAAACTATCAAACTCTTAGAGGAAAACATAGGCAGGACACTCTATGACATAAATCACAGCAAGGTCCTTTTTGACCCATCTCCTAGAGAAATGGAAATAAAAACAAAAGTAAACAAATGGGACCTAATGAAACTTCAAAGCTTTTGCGCAGCAAAGGAAACCATAAAGAAGACCAAAAGACAACCCTCAGAATGGGAGAAAATATTTGCAAATGAAGCAACTGACAAAGGATTAATCTCCAAAATTTATAAGCAGCTCATGCAGCTTAATAACAAAAAAACAACCCAATTCAAAAATGGGCAGAAGACCTAAATAGACATTTCTCCAAAGAAGATATACAGAGTGCCAACAAACACATGAAAGAATGCTCAACATCATTAATCATTAGAGAAATGCAAATCAAAACTACAATGAGATATCATCTCACACCAGTCAGAATGGCCATCATCAAAAAATCTAGAAACAATAAATGCTGGAGAGGGTGTGGAGAAAAGGGAACCCTCTTACACTGTTGGTGGGAATGTAAATTGATACAGCCACTGTGGAGAACCGTATGGAGGTTCCTTAAAAAACTACAAATAGAACTACCATATGACCCAGCAATCCCACTACTGGGCATATACCCTGAGAAAACCATAATCCAAAAAGAGTCATGTACCAAAATGTTCATTGCAGCTCTATTTACAATAGCCCAGAGATGGAAACAACCTAAGTGTCCATCATTGGATGAATGGATAAAGAAGATGTGGCACATACATACAATGGAATATTACTCAGCCATAAAAAGAAACGAAATTGAGCTATTTGTAATGAGGTGGATAGACCTAGAGTCTGTCATACAGAGTGAAGTAAGTGAGAAAGAGAGAGACAAATACCGTATGCTAACACATATATATGGAATTTAAGAGAAAAAAATGTCATGAAAAACCTAGGGGTGAAACAGGAATAAAGACACAGACTTACTACTAGAGAATGGACTTGAGGCTATGGGGAGGGGGAAGGGTAAGCTGTGACAAAGCCAGAGAGAGGCATGGACATACATACACTACCAAACGTAAGGTAGATAGCTACTGGGAAGCAGCCGCATAGCACAGGGAGATCAGCTCGGTGCTTTGTGACTGCCTGGAGGGGTGGGATAGGGAGGGTGGGAGGGAGGGAGACGCAAGCGGGAAGAGAAATGGGAACATATGTATATATATAACTGATTCATTTTGTTGTGAAGCTGAAACTAACACACCATTGTAAAGCAATTATACTCCAATAAAGATGTTAAAATGAAAAAAAAAAACCTTAAATGAAATAATAGAGACTATAATGGAATTCTCTAGAATATTCCTGTAAGTTTCTTTAAAAAAAAAAGTAACCATAAAATACAGCAAGAGTATTTTAACCACATTTATAAGAGTTTTGGTGTAGAAAAGAATCTTTTTACTATTTTATTCTTTCAATGTTCGTGGTCTTTGAGAAACATAGCAAATATCTGCTACATAAGTAGAAATATTTTCAATCTGAAATAATGGCACAGTTGTGTGTGTGTGTGTGTGTGTGTGTGTGTGTGTGTGTGTGTGTGTGTGTGTATAATTGGCTCTTTCAACGTGTCTTTCAAATAGATTAAAAAATGTTTAATTTCTATAGAAAACGATTCCTTCATTTCTCAATCAAAAGATCCCTTAGAGTTGGTGCAGACCCTTCCAGAGTCAGGGCCTCTGCCATCACAGGTGCTTCTGCCTGGTCTGCTGAGAGTTACAAGTAACTTCATGATTCACTCCCACCTCACCTTTAGATCCATGTTCTAATGCTATCTTCTCAGAGAGAACTTACCTGACTATCTCATAAGAACTGATACCATCTCCATCCCCAGAAATTCCTGTCTTCCATCCTGCTTTATTTTTCTTCTAGCACTAATCATTATTTAATGTTGTATATATTTTACTAATTTACTTATTAACTTGTTTGTTTTCTTCCACTAAAATGTAAGCTCCATGACGGCAGCGTTCTTTTTTGTTTTTATATCCCTGGCATCTCAAACAGGATCTGACATACAATAGATGCTCAGTAAATATGTATTGAATGAAATATATACACTGACTATATACAAGATACAGACAGCCCCTTTTTGCATAATGATCACAAGAAAAGTTATTTCAGCTTCCTATGTGTATCATGACTTTTCAGCTGTTAAACTGAACAATAGTAATTCACTAGTGTGTTTGTTTATGAAATTTTAAAGCACTCCTTTAGTGTGGTAGATTGCCTCTTGCAGATATCCATTATCATTAAGACGTTGACTGGTGTGTGTGTGTGATTCATGTCTTGATTCATAAAGACCTGTTTCTGTGTTTTTAACAAAAGCTATTAGTACCCATGAGTATAATATATCTGTATTATAATATGAAGGTGTTGGCCACAGAACATTTTTCTTTAGGGATCTTGGAATGAATTCAATGAAGAGCAAAAGCAGGACTAACCTGATTTTCACCTTCACTGGCAGCATCTGGGACAAAAATACAGAAACCAAAGTTAAGGGAATGTAAAACATTTAATAAGTAAAACAATTTACTGAGTGTAGTATCTTGCTTATTTTAATGGCAGTATATTTTAAAACCACAAATTGATTTGAACACATTAAAATTTACCATGGCAAATGAAGTGAGGGCACTGCACCAGGCAGTATATACAGTCACAAAGATCTCTCGCTCATAAAGTTCCAATTACTTTGAAAAATAATACTTACTCATATGCTTTCTTACCCCCTCAAAATATCTAATTTCTAAAAGATCCTTTCAGAACAAAGTATTGCAGGCCTCTTTTAAAATTATAACATAGTACACCTATCAAATATATCAATTATAGTTTTAAGGTATAGTGTAGCATAAAGTTTATATCATATATATACATAAAATTAAATTTTCTGAATTCTGGTAGCTCCGCCTCCTCATTATAGCCACAAAAATTAGAGATCTGGTAAATATTAAGATTAAACTCACAGACTAATATACTCTCTCATTAACAGACTTTTTTTGTACCTATACACTTTTTTAGGAAAGTGGGCATCATTTGTGTATAATGGTCTCCTCACTCTCCATCTCTGAGGTTTCCTTTTAAAATATGTAAATGCTTCATAGCAGGTTAAGTCTAGGCAATCTTGTGTTCCCTTCAAATTCAAATAGCAAAAGCAAAAACCTACTTCCTAGCTCCCACAGAAGTCCCTTACCAATTAGATGAAATATTTTCAATCCATTTAGGATTTGAAAACACAAAAATAAAATTTGCTAGAAAGCACTACTGCTTTAAAATAAAAACAGATGACTGAATTTGAGTTTTTAATGTTTTATTTACAAATATAGTATTAAAATATACATATTAAGTACATGTAAGTTTTAAATATCTGTTATACACATAATTCATATCAGCATCAATTCATAGGCTTAATATCCTACATATGTATAATATATATAATTCATATTGTTATGAACTTTTATGTTTGGTGAGGGGAATATGGAAAAGAATCTATTAGCTTTTCAGAATTAATGTTGAATTAATGGAAGGATTTCTGATGGATAAAAATTCAGATTATCTCAAACTACTTGTCATTTCTAAAGATAACATAGCTATAAAACCACATATGTATTCTTCAAAACTCTACATCTGGCAAGGTATTTCAGGGATATATATATACACACACATACATACATACATACATACACACACACACTGAAGAAGGAGGGAGAGAGACAAGTCCCTGTCCAGAGCTTTAGGATGTCTGGCAAGAGGCTTAGACTACAGGTAAATTGCTCACCTTGTATGAGGCAAAGAGCCAGGGTCAGAAGCATTGGCACTGCAGCTATCTTCATGTTGAAGACGATGTAAGTTGGTTACACGACTGCTCCTTGCATTGCTCACCAGCTGGTGCTCTAAGACTGAACCTGTGGAGATGCAGCTCATTTTTATAGTATTCTATGGGTGACACCCACAACAACAGCCAAACTGTAAAACCAGTTGTTCAAGGTCATGCTAAACTTAATATACCACATCAATTTAGTTTCCATCTTTTAGGATCCTGTCAAGGTGGCAGATTTGAACAGATATTATTTCTAAAGTAGTTCTAATGTGTCTTCATGATACCTCCCCTAGAATGCAACAGATAATGTCCAAGGACCCTGCTCAAAGTTTAGTACTCCATAATCCTATATCAGAACTGAATTCCTCACCAACACCAGACACATTTCCTCATAGACAAACATGTTTCTAACTCAGCTCCCTTCATAAGTGGGAGGGGAGGGAAAAAGAAGACAGATGGGTTGTCCTACAAGCCAAGTAAAGATTTAAAGATTTCTACATCTGAAGAAAGCTGCATATAGCAAGAGCACCTAGGATTCCGTTTGCTTCCATCTGCATCTGTTCTAAAGTGTCTCAATTCAGTGTCACAGACACATATATAAGTTAGAATTGATGGGATCAAAGCCCTTTTAAATATTGTTCCAGAAAACTGATCTAAGGCTATCCAACGCTGAGATTGTGTCAATATTCTGAATCCCATCAAAGCTAGAATATTTCCCTTTCTTTTTTTCATGAATTAATTTCTTTCCTATAAAATATAATCATTGGTCTTAAGGTCTGTGCTATAAGCTTTATTTCTTTCCAGTGGGTTAGTGAAATTAGTGCCCATGGAAAACAAGTTCAAATTGCATGACTATCACAGGTTAGAAAATTGACTGTCTTAGCTTAATGGAAAAAGAATGGGACAGGGAGTCAGAAAATTTGTTTCTATTCCTGTCTTTGCAACTACACAGTGTAATGGAAATGAACCTGGCTTTGATGCATTTATAGATCTGGGTTCAAATCCTGACTCACGAGTTACTAGCTATGTTGTCTTGGGCAAGTCACTTATTTGCTTTCAGCCTCAGTTTCCTAATATGTAAAATAGAGACAGTAAAACTATATTGCACAATTGTTGTAAGAGTTAGAGGTAAATCGTGTGTGCGTGTACTGTTTAGAACAATTCCAAGCATATGTGGTAAGTTTTATAGTTAATGATAGCTGGCCTTGCATTTTTATCTCATTATAATGATGTGATTTACTAGGTAATTTCTAAGACTCCGAGAAAAGTCAACATCTCTTAAACGTGGTCCACAATGACAGATTTAAGTTTACTCGGCATAGAAATAACAATCCCCAAACATTCTGAAGTGAAATCAAAAAGTCAGGATATAGGTTCTCTTTTTCATCCTATCATTGTGTTCTAAACCATGACATCTGAAATAGATCAAAGTATTAACCATCTAAACTTTGTCAAAGTCATTGCTAGGTTTCGGTCATCACTGATGTCTATAAAAATCCTCCTCTGCATAATGACATACCAATACTAATCTTTTAATCTTCCATTTGCTCTGTTAGACCATATGAAATGTGTCCCAACCATACGGTAGAAAAGTTTAATGCCTTACAATAGAATTGGTGACTGTGTACTATGTTCTCATGAACACCAAATCTAGGCCAAATGGACAGTATTTCCAGGAGTGGAAGTAGTGATAGGGTGTAACAAAAGAACCAAAAGATGATGGCATCTCTAAAGTATCCCTGCTATGAGGGAAGGTTGAAGGAGTTGGTTTCTTTCTTACTGAAGAAGAGTTCCTTACTAACACCCAGAACCTTCTGAAATGATGAATAAGAGGAGTCAGACTGATAACCTCTTCCAGCAGAATAAGATGGCCAAGAGAAGATTCAGTGAGCACCCCCAATACTGGAAGTACATGTCAGCCGGCTCTTGTCATCAGACCTACTTCTGCATTTCATTTTAGAAATGTAAATCCAGAGGTGATTAATCATACACTCTGTTAATCACTCCTTATTTTTGAAAACCATGGACTTTAAATTCAAATGAATGGGACTAAGGTTTTAGAGAACTGAGTTTTGGGTTAATAGAGTACTTTTATATTAGGTTATCAGAGTACTTTCCTGAAATTCTAAATTCTATTTTTTTGGGGGGGTGGCCAGCTCTTTCAATTATTCATCAAACGTGTAAAACCCTTTTTCTTCTCATTAAAAAGGAATGGAGTCAGGTTGTAAAAAGTATAAGCTTTACAATTCAAAACATGTATCGAGTGGCCCAGAATCTGAATTCACATCAAGGATATTGACACAGAGGGAAGAGATAAGAAAAATATAAAGTAAACAAGATTTTGTAGATCAGTAATATTACTAAAGACAAAGGTTATTTCCAAAATCCAAAGTTAGCAGATCATTGTTCAGATCTTCTCTTTTTCTATGCTGAGATATCCTTGATGATCACAATAATAAATAATTATAGTCCCTTACAATTAAATCACCTTCCGCATCTTTCCAAACAATCTGTCATCCATTAGCTCTCATGACTTGTTTATGCAATGCAGTGATGCAGCAGAGTAGGTGTTATTGTCCTTTCCTCACCTGCCCAAAATGGCGCCATTAATAAACCTCAGAGTAGGAACTAGCTTGGATGGTAATACCAGCCTTGCCACTTTCTCACCTTTTACACCCTATGTGGCCATCGCATAGCATTTCAGACAGTTCAAAGAGAATCCGGACGTTAACAGTGCTTTAAACTAGGTTCAACATTCTACTGCTAACGCAGTCCTTTATGTTTATCCACTGCTCTCACATTCATACACACACACACAACCGTAAACCCATAATGACAAAAAGAATTACGTTGTGACCATGACTGAAAAAGTATATGTCCTAACAGTTCTTAGAAGATGAATTAATTTCTTTTTTATTTTCTTAATTTTTAATTTCCTTTCCTAAAATTCTCATGTTTTCCCCCATTAATTGAACATGTCTGTATTCTCCTTTTTTAAAAGACACTAACTGGAAAATAGATTTTACCCCCCTTCTTATCTTGAAATGTCCCATTAACAGGTACCTTTACTCCTTCTCTGGGAGTTCCTTTCTGTTTGTCTAGAAAGGCTGAGAAACTATAAAGATAAGCATGTCATTTTATCTAAGAACAGGATGAGATGGGCATTCTTTGATCACTAAGCATACAGACCCTACTATTTATAGATATAATTGTTGCTTATGTTAGATTAGGATTAAGAAAACAGGAATGTTTTAATACCTAATTTTTAACTGTATTAAATTTTATGTATCAGGTTATATTTTGTTCTTAAATACAATATCCAGCTTCTCCCTACAGCTGATGCTACTGGAACTCCTATTCCATGACCCTACACTATCCATCACTTGAAAATTCTGTACATTCTCAAGTCTCCTAGGATTCATTCTGACTGTAGAAAACAAGTTTGTGGAGCTACAGTCCTTTGGGAAAAAAATCACAATGAATTAATTCTGAAGTAGCTAGTATAATGAGTTTTGGCAAAAAAGTAACGCATATTTTACAGTGAAATACTTTTATGTGTGTGTATATACAATAAGAAAACTGTTAGATTTATAAGCAAAATTAGAAAAAGGTGGTATATATATCTTTATTAAATTATTTGCAAAGAAATATAAAATTTGCTATCATTTATGGTACACTTACTAAGTGACAGGTACAACAATAAAGAGTATCATTTTTTTCTTTTTTTACAGGTTAAAAAATGGAGGTTTGGTGAGATTCTATAACTTTTCCAAGGTCATACAGCCTGTAAGCAGTGGTCTTTGCAAATGAGAACACTCAATGAAAATAAAGGCAGTGAAATCCAGAGTCCAAGCTCTAAAATAACACACACTGTAGTGACCATATTATTTACACCTATAACTAGTTTATCTCAGACACTTCCTGTTATAGACTGAACCGTGTCCCTCCAAAATTCAGATTTTTAAGTCTTAAACCCCAGTATTGCAGAATGTGACTGTGTTCGAGGAGAGGGCCTTTACAAAGGTGATTAAGTTAAAATGAGGCCGTTAGGGTTGAGCCCTAACCCAAACTGACTGGTGCCCTTATAGGAGGAAATTTGGATGTAGAGAGAGACACCAGGGATGCCTGTGCACAGTCACTTACACCAGGCCACATGGTTTGTAAGCAGTCAAGCTGTGGCTCACATCTAGGTTTTAAGACTTAAAAATTTCATTCAAACAAGTAGCAAGTTAAATAGCACCAACCATTGTGTCATACAACAATCCTGATTCACTAGACAGAAAAAAGCAGTAAGAATGAATAATAAATCAGAGAATCCTCAGGTATGGGACCAAATTACCAAAATGTGATTTAACAAGTTAAAAATATAAGTCCAAAGTTAGATGTTATGGTATTCCAATAGATTCTATAATACTCCCCACATGAATACAACAAATATTTACTGAATGCATACAATTATCTGTTATCATGTGAGAGCCCAGCATTAAGCTTGTGAATAAAATAGATGTGGTCTCTAATCTCTAAGAAATTATACTCTAGTGGAAGAAGCAGAAAATAATCATACAAATCATTGTTCACCTGACTCTGTGAAAATCTTTTAAAAACGATGTCCATAGAGTAAAACTAGCATATAATACAGATATTTGGTCTCTAGAAGGGAATTCCCTGATGATACTCTCAATTCTTAAAAAAATAAGCTGGGGTTAAAAAGGTGTATAGCCTTCAATCATCTGAAAAATTCAGTTAATCCAAATGAATCATTCCTTGTAGAAAATAAACTTATAGTTACTGGGGGGGGCGGGTAAAGCAGGAGAAGGGATAAATTGGAAGATTGGGATTGACACATACACACTACTGTATATAAAATAGATAACTCATAAGGACCTACTGTATAGCACAGGGAACTCTACTCAATACTCTGTAATGGTCTATATGGGAAACGAATCTAGAAAAGAATGGAGGCTTCCCTGGTGGCACGGTGGTTGAGAGTCAGCCTGCCGATGCAGGGGACACAGGTTCGTGCCCCGGTCCGGGAAGATCCCACATGCTGTGGAGCGGCTAGGCCCGTGAGCCATGGCCGCT